CGAGTTCAAAGAGTTTAGTCTTATCAGTTTTTAGAAGGTTTGTGATGAAATCCTTGGTTATATTTGTAACAATAGTTCTCTTTATGATCATGCTGCATATTATGTTAATTATGAAATAAAATAATTTTCATAATTCCTAGTTTCATTTTTAAAAATAAAATGTCAACTTGTCCCCCCACCCCCACTACTACTTACATGAAATTTTGTTTATGTGGTATATCATTACATGGTATTTTCTAGTAGCAATCATCTTTGAATAATAAGGACCTCCTCTACTCTTGAAAAAAAAAAGTACTGTAGTTTTATAATCCTTGAATTACCACATTTCTGGATAAATGACTTTTTGGTTCATAGTCATTTTTTTTTTAAGTCTGTGCTGGTGTTCTCAGAACTTTTAATCCCTCTGTTAACCTTATTTTCTCAATAGTAAAGGTTGTAGTTTACAAAATAACAGACCTATATTAAAGATGAAGGGACCCGTTCCTCTTCACCCACGAAGTGATGATAACATATAACCAATAAATCAGTAACTTGGGTGCTGACTCTAATGACATTTTGATTCCTTCATTAAAAAATACCTAGTTTGGTTAGTTTAATTTTTTTTAGCAAACAAAATATCTGTAATTATTTACTAGCCTTGAAAATCACTTGATACATTTTTTTTGAAATTTGAAAAAAATAGTGCAAAGACATTGTTTTGGAAGGACAGCAGCTTTATAAATGCAGTAAGAGGCAATGTATAGCCACAGAAATGAAGATCGGAAACTTCGGTGCATGGCAGTCAGTCGTTTGTAATTTGAAAGGGTGAAAGAACTGAACCTCTGTATTACAGTTCATATACTTCATAGTTTCACTAAAGCGTGGATAGGATGTTAGAGGCTAAAACATTTCTTCATCTGCCTGCATAGTCCATGTATTTAGATTTGTATTTTCTATTAGTGAAGGCCTGGGTGCCATTAAAAGCATCTGACACCAGCTTTTCTGAGTGTCTTTACTGAGAAGACCCTTTAAACCATTTCTTGCTTCATTCTAACACCCATGTTAGTGTGACGAGAATTGCTGGGGCAGCTGTTGGCAGTGCAGGTGCCTGTGTGATTATCCCCAAAGGTTCTGATTCCGTCTGAGGCCCAGGAATCTACATTTTGAACAAGTACCTCTGTTTATTCTGATGACTGTTGTCCCTGGATGAGTACATTTAAATCCCGATACTTGAGAGTAAAAGGGGACACACTAATAGTTAAATCAGGAAAAAATAAACTGAGAATATCCCAGTGGGCTACTCAGACATATGGTTACTCTGCCTCTGGAACATATTTTTAAAAAATGGAAGTTTAAAGTTGGAGAGTTCCTGATATTTCCTTTTATGACCAAATTTAGCTGGATTACCTTTAGTCTTCTCAGGATCATGGCTGCTCCCACTCTTCTATGAACCAGCCTCAACTATAATGTGTATAGAACTGCCTAATAAGAGAAAGGAAGTGGAATTAAGGACTTCTGATCATAGCTGGGAGGAGGTCAGGTGGAACCCTCTCCTTTAAAGTTGAAGTTTATTTTTTCCTGATTTGAAGGACATTGATTTTGTTTGCCCTTACTTAAAAACTTAGGACTCCTCTGGAACTTTCTGTTATGTATGTTGTCCACAGCTAATCTTAACTCTAAGCTCTTAGGGTTCCTGGCTCAGCGATGACCTGTTTCTTTTAGGTGGGCATAATCCCCTTGATGGGTCTCAACCTTGCTTTTGCTTTCATTTAACTAAGTGACTTGTTTTGTTTTGAATAAATTGCAACTGAAGAATTTGAGAGAAAGAAAAAAAGTACCTTCCTAAATTTCTTCCTCAGGAGCTCTTTAGGTTGTCACTTCTTTCATAATGTTTATGTTACATAAGGAAAATTAATTTCCTATTTTGTAAACTGTTCTTTGATTACAACTGAGTACTACTGAAGGAAAAATAATTTTTATTAGTAGTAATAATACTACTGGTAGAAGTAAAATAATAACTGGATTGTTGTCTCTGGTAGTGCCTCTATTATACTTTTTTGTCAATTCCAGCATATTCTGATCTTAATGTTATTTCATTTTGCTTTTAGTTTGTTGACCACTTTCTTTGATTTACAATGTGGGAATTCAAAACAAGCCAGCTTTCTATGTACTTCATTTCAAAATTGGGAAAGGGCAGATTAGCTAAGCCAAAAATTGAGAATAAGAATTTGAAAACTAAAAAGAGGTTAAAGTAAGTGTGAAAAGAATGATTTAGGTGTGCAATTTTTTATTTCTCTATTTTTTTTGGGTCATCATTTCAGACGACTGGTGTTTTGCTGAAGTCACGTAGGAAATTAGATTAAGTATAGCCCTTGTTTGAGCCACATATAAATTTCTCTAAAGAAAGTGTCTCTGAGGCCTGTACCCTTTGTTTTGGTAATTCTTTCCACTTCTTTTTATTTTGAGGATTTCAAATGTATTACGAAAGTATAAAGAACAGTATTATGAACTTCCAAGTCAACATCAACCGTCTTTGACAGTTCTTAACTCATTACCAGTCTCTTTAAATCTATACCTGCTTTTCCCTGTCCCCCCAGTATTTTGAAGCAAATCCAAATAGTGTATAATTTCATCTGAAAATTATCTCAGTATGTATCTCTAAACTATAAAGAATTATTTTTTATTGTAGTTAAACACAACTGTAGTAACATTACATTTTAAAATGTAATTATAAAAAATTTAAGTGAATTTGTTTAGGACTAACTTTTCACTGTCTTAGAGTCTCACCAGGTGAATAAATAAAAGATTCTTCATAATATTTTAAGTTTGTTATATTTTAGAAGTAGGTTATCCTACTAAAATAGTATGTTGATATTCTATCTGAAAAACACAAATTAAGAATAATTTACCCTTCAAATTGGGATACTTTTGAGAGTGAAAGGGGATTCTGTTAGCATTTATGCTAGGAGAGCAGTTGAAATCTAGGACTCTCCTGAGTTAACTAGGATATAAATGGTTCCCTATCTCAAGGTAATATTTGCTGGTTGCATAGCTACTACCATTTTTTCAATGAGCCTTGGATAGTCAAAATGAGTTAAGATGTAGCTAAGAGCATAGTGAAACTTACCACAGGACTTTACTTGTAAATAATACAAAGTGGTATGATTAGATGGAGTCTAAAATTTTTTTAAGTGTCTGCAGACTTCAAATTATTTCTTATTAACACTTGCATGAAGCTAGAAATGGAACCACCAGACAAAAATCCTGAATTAAAAAGAACCCCTTTTGAATTTATAGACTTGCACCTGTTAGATCACAGGGAATCTAAGACTACATTATGCAGTAGGTAAATGAGGAGATGATAGCCAATTTTATTATGTCAAAAATTTTTTCTATCATAGTTGCTAATTAAGCATGATATTATATAAACTTTATATCCAGTGTAAACTAAAGTTAGTTGTATTTCCAGATTAGAAAACACAACTAGACCTCTCGTATCTGTTCTTTTCAAGTTCTCTGTTACTATAGCAATTTATTTTCAGGAAGAGCTTCAACCTATTAGTGGTGTTCTTGTTATAAGTAATATTTTAAGAAACTACCTCTTAATAATAAAGAGTACATCTAAGATTACCCTGTAAGGAGTTTCTAAAACACATGGCTTCATTAGGTCAGTTCTTTGGAAACAATAAATGCCCCCCCCCTTTTTTGAGGTGAATTTAGTTGAAATTTTAATTGATAAAGTTCATTCAATAATGTATTTATCAATTGATAAAATGAAATAAAGTCGTTAAAAGCAGTGTAAACAGGATTTAACTGATAAAATGCAGTAAAATATAAACTCCATTTAGGCAAGAACTTTGATTTTTTTTTTTAGCTCTTCCCAATTCCTAAATCAATGCCTAACCTGTGGTTCAATATCTATTAAATGCATGTTGAATAGTGAATGAGTAGGTAATTTTTACTGCTTATATGCATTAATCTGTGGTCTTTAATTATGGTGTAATGCCAAAGACTGAAAAATGTATTGTTGCTGATTGGGGAAACCATGTTTCCTTATCTCCCTCTTCTTTATTAAGTTTGGAATTATCATTGGTTGTGATCTTCCAAACCAGTTTTCTAGATCTCTTAGGGATTATGTGAACTGCTCAATAATCTTTTAGCAAGTGCCTTTTTCTTAAAATTTTCAGAGACAGTTTTTATTGTTGAAAATAAAGGATCCTGACAGAGGACCTCTGTGCTCCTTGGAGCCCAAAGGAGTTTTCATCCCAGGGACAGAGCTAGACTTAACAGCTCGGGCGCCTGTCTGCCTCTTCTCTTTTTTCTTTTTAATTAAGGTATCCTTGATATACAATTTTATGTTAGTTCAAATATACAATGCAGTGGTTCAACATTTACCCATATTATCAAGTCCTCAGCCCCTCCAGTGCAGTCACTGTCCATCATTGTAGTAAGATGTTACGGAATCATTAACTGTATTCTCCATGCTGCACTACCATCCCTGTGACCAGCCTATGCTGTGACTGCCAATTATTGTCCCCCTTAATCCCCTTTCCCCTCCCTCCCCAATGCCTCCCTTTTGGTAACCATTAGTCCCTTCTCCGTTTCTATGAATCTACTGCTAGCAGTAAATGCCCTTTTAATGTTGTTATTTCTTTTCCTTCATTTCCTTTAATCACAGCTTCACTTTTAACTTTTCCATATAAAACTTAGATCATCTACTCCCTTGTCTTTTCCTTATTTACTGAATCATTTCAAGTCTTTTGTGTTTATATGTAAAACATAATAGTTTATACACACACATACACATATATCTTAAACAATTTACTTTAACTGTGGCCTTTTTAAAAATTAGAATTAATCACCTATAAGAGACAGTATCGTGAATTTTTTTCGCATGTAGCTCTGGTGCTGTGGATGTGAAATCATAGTGATGTATTAGCTTTAATTTGTTACATAAAAGAAATGTGTCCGTGGTTGTTCTCTATACATTTAAGTATCTTAAATTACTGTTTTCTTTCTAGCTGTCCCCTTCCCTCCAACACAACGGCTTACTTTGAAGGAAGTGTTTGAAAATGGAAAACCTAAAATTGATGTTTTGAAAAACCATTTGGTGAGGGAAGGGCGACTGGAAGAGGAAGTAGCCTTAAAGATAATCAACGATGGGGCTGCCATCCTGAGACAAGAGAAGACTATGGTAGAAGTAGACGCTCCGATCACGGGTATTAGAAGTGTTTACATGGTGTCATTTAGATTTGAGCTAATTTATAAAATGATTTTGGATAACCAACTAAAATGGGTGATAATTTTTCTAGGAGTAATGAGACAGTCTTAGGATTGTTAGTATGTTTGCTGCTTATTGAAGAAATACAATGTGAAATGTCTGATACTTTCAGGAGGGCTATTCAGAATTGATAGACTGACTATCGTTAAAGAGCAGTCGAAACAAAAGCCAATGTAATTTCACTTAGAAGTTAAGCTGTGATCCTATTGCTGTAACTCCCTTTCCTTTTTAGGACATAATTTTTCCTCACCTTGTGTCCTTTTTCCTAGTGTGTGGTGACATTCATGGACAATTCTTTGACCTGATGAAGTTGTTTGAAGTTGGAGGATCACCTAATAATACACGTTACCTATTTCTGGGTGACTATGTGGACAGAGGCTATTTCAGTATAGAGGTAATGATTAAATGGATATGTTGGAACTATCATATTGTCTTTAAAAAATATTTTTGTTTTCCATTCTTCAATAGAAATTAAAATGAGAGTGCCAGCAGAATTTATAAATTTTGCTACTTCCAATAATTTAAGTGATAGAGAAATGTTTTAATTGGTAAAAAAAAACCTGTTCCTATTTTTAGCTAGTAAAAAGTTTGATATTTAGAAGGCTATGTTAATCCAACTTTGCAAATAAGTTAAATGTTTATGAACCTTTCCTCTATGATAATAATGTACAAGCTGTAGTATAAATGACATAAATTGCTATTCACCCTAAACAGGGTTTGGATTAGCTAATCTTGATTATAAAACAATAAGCTGCTGGGCTACAATTAACTCTTGGATTAACTGCCAGTGCTAAATAAGCAGGCACTTAGTTTACTATAGGAATAATTTCTGAAACCATTGCATATAATCAGCACTTAGTAAATGTTCATTGAAGGAAAAAATGATTGCAGTTAATGAAATGAAAACTCGCAATTCACTTTTATATATTTTGAAAATTGATGAGAGAAAATGGGTTAGAATTAAAGTATAAGCTTTTAGGTACAAAAGGTAAAAATATTTTAGAACCTAATGCAGAGACTTGAGTACAGTAGAACCACAGCACATTAATATTTAATGTCCATTGATTCAGCTGTAGATGCTTGACAAATAAAAGAGAAAGAACTTTTGAAATATTCAGGTAACTGAATTTGTAATGTGCCCAGAATAAGCATGAGATGAGAAACTGAGTCTGCTTGCTGTTTTTACATCTTTAGTTCTGCCTATCCCTCATAGTGTGAGAATCTCACTGTAATAAGTATGTTTCTGGTGGTTGAAGGTTTATTGTTCATGCAGCATCATGATATTAAGTCAGCACCCCAAATATAAGTCATCTATCTCAGCTGGTGCCCAGCCAAAGAAGCAACAGTTTTCTAAAGCTGCCAGAAAAATAACTGTCAAGAGGCATAGATCTTACTCTTAGGCAATCTAAATTCATGAATCAGAAAAATTCATTATCATCTACCAGTGCCTCAAATTCATTTAGTGTCATCTATGAGGACAAAAATTAATGATAGAAGCCAATAAAATAAGCATTTTTTTCCCCTGCTGCTCAGTAAATTCCCAAGTCCTCTAAATAGATACCTGGGATGTTTGGAGATAATACTTGCAGACTATTTCATTGAAAATCTTCCCTATTCCAAGCAACCTAAGGGTCCATTGATAGATGAATGGATAAATAAGATGTGACACAATGAAATATTATTCAGTCATAACAAGGAAAGAAATCCTACCATTCACAACAACATGAATGGACCTAGAGGGTATTATGCTAAGTGAAAAAAGTCAGAGAAAGACAAATACTTATGATTTCACTTACTTGTGGAATCTAACAAACAAAACAAATGAACTAACAAAACAAAACAGAAAGAGACTCATAAATACAGAGAACAAATCTGTGGTTGCCAGAGGAGTGGGGGACTTGAGATGGGTGAAACAGTGAAGGGGAGTAAGAGGTACAAACTTCCAGTTACAAAATAAACAAGTTATGGCAATGTAAAGTAGAGCATAGGGAATACAGTTAATAATATTGTAATGCCTTTGTATGGTGAAAGAGATGGCAACTAGAACTACTGTGGTGAGCATTCTGTAGTGTATATACAGAATCACTATTTTCTACACTTGAAACTAACATAATATTGCATGTCAACTATACTAAATAAACTTAAAAAGGATACAAACATGGCTTAAACAAGAAAAGAAAAGCTTCCTTATTTCTAATCACATCATATTTCAATAGACAGTAAATCAAAAATCTGGATGTTTGAAGGACACATTGAGTATTCTTTGCGTGTTTGCTAGCATGAGGAGGTTTTAGAGAGTAAAGAGAGGAATACAGAATTTAACTGAATTTTTAATTAGTCATTTTATTTAAGAAACTTTTAAAAAAATATTGTGCCAAATCATCTTCTGATTGTTAATTCAATCTTTAATATAATTTCATTACATCAATATATTCAATAAAGCACACACATGCACATACAAATCTACAGTGATCTTTGTATACACTTACTATTTTCAGAGTATTTTGTATTATATATTTATTCCCTAACTCATCAGCAAATGTTTCCTGAGTGCCAGTGTTGGCAGGCTCTGAGGATAAAAGAATGAATAAGATTCATGCTCTCTACAGGAGCTGACAGTCTAATAGAAACGATACACTGAGAATAGATCTTTCAGTATAATATGAAAATGCTAATTTAATTAACAATGTATTCTTCATATTAGAACCTAGCACAGTACCTGACATGTAGTAGGCACTCAGTTAATACTTCCTGAATGAATGAATGTTAATAATCATAGTTTTTATTTGACTTTATTCTATTATTTGATGTTAGCTGACTTAACAGGTTTTTTTGTAATAGCTTAAGATATAAATGAACCTAAACTTTAAAGTGACAATGCTGGTTTATACCAGCTTTAAAACTGAACTGTGGAGAGTATATCTAGTATTAGTTGGAAGTCACTTATAAACCACTAAGATTATAGGCTTCTGTAGACTATGACATTATGTAAGTATATACTTGAACAACAATTTTTTATCTATGTCCTTAATAAGTATACGTATGATGTTTTTGTCAAATGGATGAAAATAAAGTAATGGAGGCCCCATTATAATTTTTTTGTTATAAATACTTCATTGTTTTACAGAAAAATTGGGAAATGAAAGCTTATCTAAGAAAACAAAGACTTTTATAAATCAGAGATAATCACTGTTAACATATTTCCTTGCAGTCTTTTTTCTTCTTTTATATTTGTGTGTGTATTTTTAAAGACAATTAAGGTCATTTTGTGCATTCTTTTTTGTAGTCTTTCTTCCCCTTATTGTATTGAAAGCATTTTTCTCTATCATTAAAATTTCTCTAAAAGTGTAGTTAATGGTATAAATACTATGATTTATTTCACCATTCCTCTATTGTTGAATAATTAGGTTTGTAACAGGTACTATTTATTGCCTATCTTTTCTCTTCTTCCTTACTATCAAAAGCTGCATTTTGTTCACATGAATGGGATTGGGGTTCAGGGAGAACTTTTGATTTCAGGGAGGCAAGGCCCTTATCCCAGGGCTAGGGAATGAATTCTGGTTGGTCTGAACTAGAGTCATGGCAATCCATTCCCTGTCACCAGTGATTGATAAATTGGGATCCTCTTTTTTCCAATAATACATAAAGGGAACTCTGCTGGGTGATTTTTCTTGTTGTTGTATTTGTGGTTTTTTTGTGTTTTTTGAAACATTCTCTTTCCAGATGAAAAAGACTGTTGCAAGGTAAAAGCTTTTGGACCCCTATTCCACTATGTCATTTCAAATGTGGGTATGTAGCAGCCATTTTGTGACCATGAGGAGGTGCTATAACAAAGGAGAAAAATCAGACCTGCTGTGAATCACAGATCAAAGAGGTAGACAGGGCATGTTTTCCTAGTGAGGATGCTGAGCTGATCCACTAAACCTGGACATCTTACCTCCAGACTTGTTTTGAGATCCTTAAATGTCTTTATGGCATAAGCTGTAGTTAATTGGATATTGTATCACTTGTACTGTAAGTGGTATAAGGTTGTTTTCCAGTTATTTCTGTTCTGCATACTGCTGCAGTTAACATCTTTTTGAATACATCTTTGATAGCATTTCTGTTACTTTCTTAGATCAGGTTCTTTAAAGTGAAATACACTGAATGAAAGAGTGAACATTTTTAAGTATTTTGATAAGTATTGCCAAATTGGTTTCATAGAACCTTATTTCACCTAACTTTCTCCTTCTACACTGAAAAATTTCTGTTTCCTTGGGCCTATATGAGATAATCAAGGCATGGTGATTTTTTTTAATGCCCATTGAAGGACTGATCTTTCCTGAAGCAATGTGGGCTTTGATTAATCCACCAGGGATTGATTCATATACTCCTGATAAAGTAGAATAGTAAAATTCCACTTTTTTATGAGCCTTTTGATGTTCCTTCTTCATATATACCTATTATAAAATACTCCTCAGTAGCAAGGGATGCTAAATTTTAGTTTTGTGTAATTGATTTTTGCAGTAAGAAAAGGTGTTAAAGGGAACATTTTCAGCATGGGATATATTGTACTAAATGCACAGGAGCCACTAAGAAGAAAATGTTATCAGATGCCAGGTGATGTAAATGTTATCAGATGATGAATTAATGGAAAATTCTTGACATGTAGAAATGATTTGTGAGATGGAATAAAAATTCTGTTCATATAGAAATAAAGAAGCAATTGAGTGAATAGATCTTCTGGTAATCATGACCTTCTAGTTGAATTGTACAAGATAACCATACAGTTGTATCCTGATGTGTAATATAAGGAAATAAAACTTGAGATTAGGGGCTGAGAAGTGTATCAACCAAATTATATTATAGTATGGTTATGGATTTTGCTTTTATATGTCTTATTATTTCAAAGAGGTGAGTTGTTCTTTTTAGGAGTCAGAAGTAAAGACCCAAATAAATCAAAAGATATATCATGTTCAAGTATATTTGTATGTGTCTATATATTTATTTTTTATAAAATGCTTATTTTGCAATGCGTATCTCAAATAAAATACATGTATTTCAATCCAACAATTCCATTTTTGAGAAATTATATTGCAGATGTACTCATAATTATGTACAATGACACATGAATAGTTTGGCACAATACTTGAGACGTTCTACTGGCATTTGTTTAATGAGCAGAGTCTGGGGATACAAACACCCTGTAATATGCAGAAGACTCCAGGTCTAGTGTATCAACAACAGTTATGCTTTTCAAATTGTCAGCAGAACTTGTGTTGAGAAGCATTGTTAAATTCTGGGTGTATGGAGATGAATAAGCAAAGCCAGACCCTCACTGTGTTTTCTGCTCAGAGGGACAGCACCGTATTTTTGTTTAGTGTCTATGAAAATCAAATCAGGGAAAGGGGCTAAAAGGGGACAGGAGTAGCTGATGTAGGTGGGGATCAGGGAGGCCTATTTGAGAGGCGCTTGATCGGAAACTTACACCATCTGAGGGAATGAGCTGTGCATGGATGCAGAGGCTGGGGCTTAGTACATTCTAGGCAGAGGACACCGCAAGTGCCCAAGCTCCGAGGCGGGGCGAGCCTAAGGCAGTCAGCTGGCAGTAACAAGACCAGTGTGGCTGGACAGAATGAGGACTACGGGGAACATGCAGCCAGTGTATCGGAGAGACAGGCAGGGCTAGAGGGTGACAGGCCTTGTAGACTACAGTAAGGAGTTTGGGTTTTACTCTGAGTAATAGGAAGCCGTTGGAGATCCACCCTCCCTCCCTTCCTCCCTCCCTTCCTTCCTTCCTCTCCTCCCTCCCTCCCTCCCTTCCTTCCTTTCTCCTCTCCTTTTCCTTTCCTCTCCTCTCCTTTTTCTTTCTTTCCTTCCCCTCCCTCTTTTCCTTCTCTCTCTCTCTCTCTCTCTCTCTTTCTTTCAGCAGGGGAGTAGGGGAGTGACATACATTGTTTTGAAATGATTACCCTGGCTATTATGTGCTGATTTGACTAGAGGAACCCAGAGGGGATACAAGGACACCCCCCGTGGGCATGGGCAAGAGATGTTGGTGACTTACATCAGGCACACTGAGAGGCATTTGGATTCAGAATTTTGGGGTCTATCCTTTTTGGGAGGTGGGAAAAATCTCACTTGAATTAATCAAGCTCTTCAGGTCACGGCATGTTTATTACCAGTCTTTACAAAGTCCCTGTGTTCTTACTTTTCTGTGACCTCTGTTTTCCATAACTCCCCTTCCCCCATAATACATGTTTCTATTGTATATGGTATATACCTGAGAATACATATCATACATCATATTAATTCTTTAATATCGGATTTTTGTGGATAAAGTATTTTAACTATTCAAATGTTATGGTGCTATTCTGTGGTTCTCAGACTTCAGCATGCATCATAATTATCTGGAAGGGTTGCTCACAGTTTCCTGGTCCCACCACAGAATTTCTGATTCATTAGGTCTAGGGTATAGCCTGAAAATCCGTATTTCTAAGAAGTCCCTGTGTGATGCTGATGTACCACATTTTGGGATGAATGTGAGCGCACTGAGAACCACTGCTGTAGCTCTATTGTCTGTTGATTTGGTTTTCACTTACTGTTCTTAAGGTGTCTGTAGGTTGCTGTATGTCTCTAGTTCATGGTCTTCTGCTTGCTGTATAGTATCAATAGTATATGTCCATGACGTTTTAGTTCTCTATTAGTGGTGGACACCTAGGTTGCCTCCAATTTCTTTCTACAATGAACACTACACTGATGAGCACCCTGATGTAAGTCCACTTATTGTTCCATGTTTGTTTCTTTGTGGCTTATGTACAAGAGTGGGATTGCTAGAGGAAATGGCACATACCTTCATACCTGAACTGACTACTGCAGATCTTTGCAGGATAGCCATACCAGTCCGTGGTCCTACTAGTAGCACCTAAGAGTTCATATATCCTCACTTCCCTTTCTCCAAGATTTGGTTTTATCTCATTTTCTTCTAATATTTACCAAAATGATAGGTATAAAGTTACATGCTAGTTGATTTAATTGCTTATTGGGGGTGGGGGTAACATGTAGAACATTACTATGGCTCTAGAGGTCAAAGCTATCCCAAAAGGTAAGCTCTGAGATTGTCACTCCTTCCTTATTCCTCCTAACCTGTTCCTAGCCCCACTTCTTGCCATCCCTTTCCTCTGTGCCCCCTGTGTAGGTGACAGATCTCTTCAGTTTTTGATTATCCGTCCTGTATTTCCTATGCACAAATGAGCAGGTACACATGTATTTCTTATATCCCCTTCTTTATTACAAAAACAATAGTATACTATAGATACTTTGATTTTTTTCACTAAACACTGTATCATGGAAATCCCTCCAAGCCGGTTTATAGAGATCTTTCTCACTCTTTTTTTGAAAAATAGCATCATAGTACTTCATTGTGTGGATGTAGTATCATAATTTCCTTAGCCTCTTTCCTGTGTATGGTCTCTCCTGTGTATTTAGGGTATTTCCAATATTTTGCTGCAACCTTGTACGTATGTATTATTGTCAGAGATGTATTTTCAGGTTAGGCTTCTATAAGTGGTCAAAAGTTAAGTGAATATGTAGTCTGTCAGTTTTTTTGCCAAGTTGTCTTTTACCACGCAAATTCACCTTCTCTTTTGTAGCCTCTGGATTTTTCATTAATTAATAAAATTTTCACTACACTAAGGCTGAAGAAGACCTCACCCACATGTTTTCTTCTAACCTTGTATGGTTTCATTTCAATATATTTAGATCCCTTATCAATTTGTCATTTGTTATGTATTTAAGTGAGATATGGATCTATTTTTTTTTGAAATGGCACCAGTTGTCGCAGAGACATTTACTGAGAAGTCCATCATTATTACTGCAGTGTCTTAGGGTGCCACCTTTATCAAATACCAAATTTTTGTATGTACTTGGATTAATTTCTGGATTTTATTCCACTGGTATACTTACATGTGCCAATACCACTGTTTTAATGATATGTTTTAACACCCAGGAGGACTAGTCCCAACTACTTATAATTTCTCTTTTTCAGTGTTCCTGGCTGTTTCCTAACTCTTCTTGCATGTTTATTTTTCCACGTAAAGTTTAATATCAACTTGTCTGCCTCCATAAAATAGTTTGTTGGTATTTTTATTGGAATTGCCGTGATTTTATACATTAGGAAGAACTGTAATCTTTTAATACTGAATCATCCTATCCAAGAACAGATCGTAACTTTCCATTTGTTCATGTCTACTTTTGTGTCTTTCAGGAGTGTTTTACATTTTTCCTGCTACGAGTTCTGCACATTTTTTGTTAAATTTATTCTTACATGTTTAATCATTTTTGCTGCTGTTGTAAATGGAGTTTTCTCTACCATGTGTCCTATTTATTGTGTATATGACAGCTATTGATTTTGTATGTTAATTCTATATCCTGCTATGTTACTGGATTCTTTTATTACTTGAATTCATTTATCAGTGATAATGAGATTTTCAGGTATGTTATTATGTTATATCATCTACAATAGAGATAGTTTTATTTTTTCTTTACCCATTCTTAAATTAAGCCTCTAATTGGTTTCTTTTGTCTAATTCAATTGAGCAGTTACCTCTAATACAATCTTGAATAGTTAGAGGAGATAGTTATCTGTGCTTTGTTCCTGATTTTAGTGGAAATGTCTCTAGTGTTTCCCCATTAAATAAAATACAGCTTTTAAGATTGAGGTATATATATATATGTGTGTGTGTGTGTGTGGCGGTGGGGGGTTGGCTTTGTCACAGAGTTCTAGATATTTGGATAGAATATGGGAACAGAAATTAAGGAGAGACTTCTGTGAAGGCTACTTCCTGTGCTTTGTCAAATTCTAGGGCAATAGCATATCACATTCAAAAGATGGAAAGTTTCATGTTTCGTCTTGGGACTATAGCAATGAGATATGCCATTACAAGGCATTTGAAATTATATAAATTGTCTTTATGCATATTATCATGGTCACAAATGAAATGTTATCCTTCATTTGTCTTGTAGTGTGTGCTGTTTTTGTGGAGTTTAAAGATTAATCATCCTAAAACATTGTTTCTGCTTCGAGGAAATCATGAATGCAGGCATCTTACAGAGTATTTCACCTTCAAACAGGAATGTAAGTATAATAACACTTGGCTACCTTTTAGCCAGTTCAAAGTGAATCGAACATAAAGAAAAAAAGAAATGAAAGAACTCAAAGCTTTCCTGTTCTGTGTTTCTTTTCTGGTAAGACCCAAGATTCTGCCTTTCAAGGCATTTATTTTGAAAATGACTTTTGGGTTTACATCTTTTGTTTATAAAGTAATGTATTTGCCATATATGGGAAAGTCCAAAGAAGATAAAAATTATCCACAATCACACCACTTAAAAATAATCACTATTGCCTAACTGTTTGGGACATAGACTTCTGTTCTTTTTTGGATGGATAAACACAGGGCTTGTTTGGGAGGACTTGCCCAGGGTATTTCCGCTTACTGTTTCTTGTTTCCCCAGATACTGATCTACGTATAAGACCTACATCTTTATTTCATTCATGTCATCTCCTCAGAGATTTTCTTTCCTGGGTTGCCTTTTCTAAATTTAGTGATTTTCTTCAGATAAATCCACTGAAGTGGAATTGCTGGGACTGATGATATTACTGTACTGCTTTCCTTAGTAGCTGTACCAATTTGCAGTTCCACTAGCAGTGTATGAGGGTTCCCTTTCCTCCATATCCTCACCAACACTTGTTATTTCTTTTCTTGTTGATACTAGCCATTTTGACTGCTGCAAGGTAATAAGTTTCATTGTGGTTTTGATTTGCATTTCCATGATGATTAATGAAGTGGAGCATCTTTTCATGTGTCTATTGGCCATCTGTATGTCTTTTTTGAAAAAATGCCTTCAGGACCTGTGGCTATTTTTTAATTGGATTATTTGTTTTATTTTGGTCTTGAATATTATATGAGATCTTTATATACTTTGAATATTAACCCCTTATCAGATATATCATTTGCAAATATCTTCTCCCATTAAGTAGATTGCCTTTTGTTGACTGTTTCCTTTGTTGTGCAAAGCTTTTTAGTTTGATGTAGTCCTACTTGTTTATTGCTTATTATTTTCTGTTTCCTTTACCTAGGGATACATATCATGAAAAAATTTACTAAAGCCAGTGTTCAAGAGTTTACTGCCTTGTATATCAATTTTAAAAAAGGGGGGGACATAAGAAAATTTAAAAAAAAATTACTGCTTATGTTCTCATCTAGGATTTTTATGGTTTTGGGTCTTCTGTTTAGGTCTTTAATCCATTTTAAGTTTATTTTTGGGGTATAAGACAATGATCCAGTTTCATTCTTTTGTGTGTGGCTGTCCAGTTTTCTAAATAACATTTATTGAAGGGATTGTCTTTTCTCCACTGTACTTTCTTGCCTCCCTTGTCATGTATTAATTGATCACAATCTGTGGCATCTTGCTGCACTGATGGACAGTGACTGCATTGGGGTATGGGTGGGGACTTGATAATATGGGTAAATGTAATAACCACATTGTTTTTTCATGTGAAACCTTTATAAGAGTGTATATCAATCATACCTTAATAAAAAATTTATTTAAAAATAAATAAATTGATCACATAGGTATGGGTTTATCTCTGGGCTCTCTGTTCTGTTCCATTGGTCTGTGTGTATGTTCTTCCAGTATCATGCTCTTTTGATTACTGTAGCTTTATAGTAGTTTGGAATCAGGGAGCATGATACCCCTAGCTTTGTTCTTTTTTCTCAAAATTACTTGGACTATTTGGGTTTTTTTTTTTTGGTTCCATACAAATTTTAGAATTATTTTCTCTAGTTCTGTGAAAAATGCCCTTGGTATCTTGATAGGGATTGCGCTGAATCTGTAGATTACTTTGGGCAGTTTGGCCATTTTAACAATATTGTTCTTATCCATAAGCATGGAATAGCTTTCAATTTATTTGTATCTTATTCAGTTTCTTTCATCATTGTCATACAGTTTGTAGAGCATAGGTCTTTCACCTCCTTAATTAAATTTATTCCTAGGCATATTATTCTTTTTAATCCAATTATAAATGTAATTGATCTCTTAATTTATCTTCCTATTATTTATTATTTGTATTTAGAAACACAGCACATTTCTGTATATTGATTTTGTATCCTGTGGCTTTACTGAATTCATTCATTAATTCTAATAGTTTTTTAGTGGAGTCTTTAAGGTTTTCTATACATAGTACTGTGTCATCTACCACTAGTGACAATTTTACTTCTTTCTTACCAACTTGGATGCCTTTTATTTATTTTTCTTGTCTGATTGCTATGGCTAGGACTTCCAGTACTATGTTGAATAAAAGTGGTGAGAGGGGGCATCTTTGTCTTGTCCTGATAATAGGGAAAAAGATTTCAGCTTTTTGCTGTGAGTATGATGTTAACCATAGGTTTGTTATATATGACCTTTATTATGATGTTGAAGTGTGTTCCTTTTGTACCCACTTTGTTGAGAGTTTTTATCATGAATGAATGCTGAATTTTGTCAAATGCTTCCTTAGCATCTGTTGAGATGATCATATGGTTTTTATCCTTCCTTTTGTTAATGTGGCATATTATGTTGATTAATTTGCAGGTACTGAACCATCCTTGCATCCCTGGAATAAATCCCTCTTGGTCATGGTGAATGAACATTTTAATGTATTTTTGAATTCACTTTGCTAATATTTTGTTGAGGATTTTTGCATTATACTCATCATGGATATTTTTCTGCAATTTTTTTTTTTGTAGTGTCCTTGTTGGCTTTTGGTATTAGGGTAATGGTGGTGGCCTCATAGAGTGAATTTGGAAGATTTCCTTCCTCTTCAATTTTTTGGAATAATTTGAAAAGGATAGGTATTAACTCTTCTTTAAATGTTTGGTAGAATTTTCCTGTGAAGCTATCTCATTTGGGAGTTTTATTAGGAGTTTTTGATTACTGTTTCAGTTTTGTTATTACTAATCAATCTGTTCAGATTTTCTATTTTGGGAGATTCCATGTTTCTAGGAATTTATCCATTTCTTCTAGGTTGTCCAGTTTGTTGGCATATAATTTTTCATAATCTCTTATAATTGTTTGTATTTCTCTAGTGTTGGTTGTAACTTTTCTTTCATTTATGAATTCATTTATTTGGGTCCTCTCTTTTTTTCTTATGAGTCTAGATAAAGGTTTACCAATTTTGCTTGTCTCTTCAAAGAACTGGCTCTTAGTTTCATTGATCTTTTGGTTTTTTAGTCTCTATTTCATTTATGTCTTATCTTTATTATTTTGTTCCTTCTATGAACTTTGGGCTTTGTTTGTTCTTCTTTTTCTAGTTCCTTTAGGTGTAGGTTTAGATTGAGATTTTTCTTGTTTCTTGAGGTAACCCTGTAATGCTATAAACTTCCCTCTTAGAACCCTTTTGCTGCATCCTGAAGATTTTAAATTACTGTGTTTCTATTTTCACTATTCTGCAAGTATTTTTTGATTTCCATTTTAATTTCTTCATTGACCCATTGGTTTTTTTTAGTAGCATGCTGTTTAGCTTCCACATACTTGTGTTTTTCTACTTTTTTTTCTTGTAATTGATTTCCAGTTTCATAGTGTTGTGGTTGGAAAAGATGCTTGATATGATTTTAGTCTTCTTAAATTTATTAAGACTTGTGCCAAGTGATTTCACTCATTTGTGGAGTATAACAACAAAGCAAAACTGAAGGAACAAAACAGCAGCAGACTCACAGACTCCAAGAAGGGACAAGCAGTTAACAAAGGGAAGGGGCTGGAGAGGGTGGGAGAAGGGGATTAAGGGGGATTAGCATTCACAGTATAGGTAGGTCACGGGGAAGGCAGTATAGCACGCAGAAGACAAGTAATGACTCTATAGCATCTTACTATGCTGATAGACAGTGATTGCAATGGGGTCATGGGGGACTTGATAATATGGGTGAATGTTGAAATCACAATGTTGCTCATGTGAAACCTTTCTAAGATTGCTTAATTAAACATTAAGACTTGTTTTGTGGCCTAACATGTGATCTCTCCCAGAGAATGTTCCATGTGTACTTGAGAAGAGTGAGTATCTGCTATTTTTGGATATAATGTTCTGTATATATCTATTAGACCCATTTGATTTAATGTGTCATTCAAAGCCACTGCTTCCTTATTGATTTTCAGTCTGGATGATCTATCCATTGATGTAAGTGGGGTGGTAAAGTCCCCTAGTATTATTGTATTATTATCAGTTTCTCCCTTCATGTCTGTTAATATTTGCTCTATTTAGGTGCTTCTCTGTTGAGTGAGTAGAAAATTTTTGTTACATTATTATATAATGTTTTATTTCTTTTTACAGTATACTTTGAAGTCTGTTTTGTCTGATATAAGTATTGCTGCTCCAGCTTGTTTGTTTTTTCATTTCTGATTACATAGAATGTCTTTTTCTATCACTTTAGTTTTAGTCTGTGTGTGTCTTTAGGCCTTTTGCAGTATTTAGGCTTTAGGCCTTATAGGTAGTATTTAAATGTGTCTTGTTTTTTCATCCACTCAGTTAGTCACCCTGTGTCTTTTGATTGCAGCATTTAGTCCATTTATATTTTTAAAATTGACGTATAGTTGCTGTAGAATATTATATTGGTTTCAAGTATACAATGCAGTGATTCAACATAACACACATTATTAAATCCTCACCCCAACTAGTAGTTAATATCTGTCAACGTAGAAAGATGTTACAGAACCTATATTCTCTATATATGACTATATTCTCCATGCTGCCCTTCTGTCTCTGTGACCAACTTATATTATGATTGAAATTTTGTGCCTCTTTATACCCCTCACACACTGCACTCATCCCCTCCCCCATAGTAACCACCAGTCACTTCTTAATGTCTATAGTCAATTTACATTTAAAATAATTATTAATGAGTATATAGTTATTGCCATTTTGTTCAATGTTTTCTGGTTGTTTTGTTCTCTGATCCTTTATTCTCTTGCCTCTCTTGCCTTGTGTGTAATAGTTTTCTTTAGTGTTATGGTTGGATTCACTTATTTTTTGTGTATCTATAATAGGTTTAGGTGGTTACCATATGACATTTCAACATATATAGCAGCCTATGTTAAGTTGATAGT